CGGGGCGGTCCCGAGAAGTAGTTATGTATGCTTGATGTATTTGTGATTCATGCATGTTGTATGTTATGTGTATGTGTTCCGGGCTTCGATCCGATGTCAGGGTAAGCCTGATGTATGCTAGTTTATATGTTATTTGTTATATGTTTCGGGCTTCGGTCTTATATCGGGGCAAGCCCGATGCAGATTATGTGATTATGTTATGTGTTTATGATATATGTTATGCTGTGTATGTGCCGGGGTAAGCCCGATGTCGAGGTGAGCCTGATGCCCGATGCGATCGGATGCCAGGGTGAGCTCGAAGTCGGGCAGGTGTCCAATGTCGTGTAAGTTGATGTCGAGATTTGTCCCGATGTAGTTGGGAGTGGTCCAAGAGTTATGTTATTTGTTATATAATATGTGTACGGTATGTGGTAGTTTGGGGGAGCTCACTAAGCTTCATGCTTACAGTTTCAGTTTTTGTTTCAGGTACTTCAGCTAGCAAAGGGAAGGGCTCGTGATGATAGCATGACACACACCATAGTCTTTTTGTCCTGGGAGTTTACCCTGATATATTAATCATATGTTTTTGTCACCGTATTTGATATGATGTTTTGAGATACATGAGACATGGTTTTCTTATGATTATGTATGACTTATGGGTTTATAATAATTTTCAAAACAAAATTTGTGGGCTGTATTTTTAGGATATTTCATTTACATTTTTGTTTCATTATTCCACTAAAACTAGAAAGTCACATATATGCTATAACATATCTAATGAATAGAACCTTAGGATTCTTTGCATTTTAGTTAAAAGAAAATTTTGAAATCTAGAATAAAATTTCATTTAGCTTACTTTTTAATTCTTTTTCTAGCATTTTTCTTTGGTATTTAATTATCAAATTATTAATCTAGCATAATTGATCTCCTACCACACACTTAAATGACAAAATATCCGTTTAATTATGAAATTATTAATCTAACATAATTGATCTCGTACCACATACTTAAATGATACAATGTCATTGTTGTTTATTAAAAAAAAAAATAATAATTAGAAAGAACTCCTCCCGTGAGATAGAAGTGGCAATATCAATCTCTCAGTGTTTAGGCCTTTGTTGGATCTCGTATGCACTTGTTGGCATTTTTTTGTGATAAAATTATTCAATACAAATCTATTCTTCTTTCGCTCATAATTGACACTTGGAACCAACAATTTACTCATGAAAGTCATGCATTCCAAGTACATTAGATAATCTCAACACAATTTACTAATTTGCGGCTCTACTTCTTGCTGAAATATCTTTGTTTTCGATTTAGCAAAGTTTTTCGACGAGATTGTAGTATTTTCGGCGCGATTTGAAATCTAATGCTCTTGATAGTAAAGTTGCCATCATTAACTAAATCCCACTACCACTTGTCCCAACACATTCCTAACCATGTCCCCTCAACAAAAGACCTAAGCACAATGAAATGTGAAATTTATACACCCTAACTAAGCTTATGAGACTACTCCCAACCCCATTGACCATCTTGTGAACGATCCCTAACTATTGGGGTTTCTTTCCACTTGAAAAATTGTTTGAACCTAAAGGGCCAAAGGAATACATCCACACCATGTTTTTCAAAAACAAGTACTAACATCATGTCCCACTTTACGATAAGCATTGCAAAAATTGATTACCCATTTCTTTTACATAATTTGTCTTTTTCCAAATAAATATTATATGTTAATAAACGTATTTATAAAATATATAATATATAATATTTTTTCAACTTTGATAAACCAAAATAATAACATTTTTATTCTATAATAACACTTGTGGAATGATGACATTACTTTTTTTTCTTAAAAACGCTAAACACCTTTTGATAACATGCATTGTTATCTCACTCTAAAAGTACAAGTGAAAAAGCGGTATCAAAACACCAAAACGCCAATATAGTAAAGTGAATAAACCTTCTATAGGGCCGCATAAAGGCCCACATTACATATGCCCAGAAGATTCCATTCAAATCACGCCTAATAGTTCCAGCTAAAGTCTATACCAATTTATTTTCGCTTTTTCCACACTAAGATAACACATTTATACCAAATTTAACCACCTTTCCAACTTTTGAGCCACATTTCAACAAAAAAAAAAAAAAAAACCATTATTTCTTATAAAACACATTAATTTTAATAAAACAATCTTCTTATTGTGGCCGGTTCAAACGGTAAGAAACCCAGACGATCGCAGCAGGCCCATGTCTTCAGGGGCTCAAATTATATATATATATATATATATATATATATATATATATATATATATATATATATATATATATATATTACTACATAAATGATTTTTAAGGCCACAAGTTGGTTTAAAGTCAAACTAACTCAAAAGATAAACAATTTGACTTGCTTGTTATAGTTAATTGAACGCGTTTATAGTAAAAAATAAATGATATTTTTTTTGAATCTTCATTATATTTGTTTTTAATGATATTTTTTTCTTTTTGTCCGGACCCATATGCATTTGGACCAGCGATGATTGTAAGTCTCTATCATAAAAAGGCATTGAGAAAAAAGAATGAAATCACATCATGCGGTATGTAGGCGCATTAAGTTGGAGTGGAGCACGATCATGCCTAACATCATCTCTAATGACTTCTGTAAAAACCAAATTCTCTTCATATTTGGAATTTGAAGGAACCTTTCATTTTCAAACCTTCCCACCAAATTTGGAAGGATTTCTCATTCATCCAAAATTTTAATTTAGCATTTCAACTATTCTGGTTATTGAGATTAAAATATTCATTGATGATTTTATAAGAAAAAGTATAAAAATAAGTTAATATCCTATCCCATAAAAAGATGATAATAAAATAAAAATAAAAATAAAAATCATATATAATATAAGAGGCATAACAAGCAAAAAATGAAAGAAAACTAAAATATTAGTTCAAATATTACAACTTATGGTTAAAAAGAAACAAAACATATGTTCAAAGTGAAATATTACACCGAAGCTATAATTCCAAAGAAACCAAAATACACACGGACATAATTTTATTTATTTTAAGAGTTTAATGCTTCATATATTAAAACCAACTAGCAGATAGCTAGTAAAAAAACCATTACAGCATAATACAATTCAAAGGTCTTTTAGCCCATTACCCCAAGTGAATCACAAAATTCAAATTCCTAATCCAACACCAATTAAACGAAGAACTAAACTTATAATCTAAAATCACCACCTTTCTCGTCTTTTTATCAATAAATACAATAGAATACGATAATACCAAAACACCACAAAGTCGTTATAATAATGGCATCAAGAAACCTCATTTTTTTACTGAGTAATCGGAAAGGAATCAACTCATGTTATCTAGGGACTGCAATTTTCGACAAGATCCGTCACATGATACGAACCCAACACGAAAATAATTGGGTTTGGGTTGATATTCCATCAACCGGTCAACCTGCTAACCGGCCAAATAAACGGGTCGTGTTCGGGTTAGTAATTGTGTTCACGAGTCAACCCGTCAACCTATATTTGACGGGTTGACTCGTGAACACAATTACTAACCCGAACACGATCCGTTTATTAGAAAAAGAAAAAAAACATTAAATAATTTTATTGGAAGATTGATAGTTATATGAGTTATTGTTTTAATTTGTTTATTTGAAAAAAAAAATCATTATATAATTTAAACGAATAAAACGTCAAAAAATTAATATTATATAATAGAATAAAATAAAACTATAAAATATTAAAAGATTTTTACACCAAAAAAAAATATAAATAAATAAAGCAGTAAATAAATAAATAAATAAATAAATAATAAAGAATAATAATAATAATAATAATATTTTATATAATTTAGATAATTGATTAAAAAATAAACATAATTTTATAAATAATCTATATTAACTCTATTAAAATAAAATTAAAAAAACAACAATTTAGATAATAATAATAATAATAATAATAATAATAATAATAATAATAAATTGTTAAAAGAAAAAGATAAAAGAAGAAAAAGGTAATTTCGTATTTTTATATGAAACAAAGATTTGAAATGCAATATTCATAAATTATATATATATATAACCTATCAAATTTTAAACTTAGAAATCCAAACTACTTCAATCAAACCACATGGAACATTTCTATAATTTACTCTACTTTTGATTTTTCAACCTATCTTGAAAAGTATTTGTAAGTTTAGGGTTAAGTTGCTATTAGGGGGGGGGGGGGGGGGGGGGGGGGGTGCATTTTAATGTAAGGTTCATTCAGAATGATATTGTGGAGCTAGTTTCCACTTATCTTTTTCAAATTTTCATCTCATCAGCAATGCGGGATATTAGATGTACACCCCTCCTCTTATCTCCCATTTTCAATTTGCATTTGAACCAAACTTCATGTAAATGCTTATTATAATATTCTATGTGAATGTTTTTATTAATATAAAACAGGCATAGTATATAACAAAAGCCTTAAGTTTTCAATAATTAATAAAATATTTTATTATATTTTATTTGTATACATGATCATTTCGGTAACTTGTTTACACCACAAATGTCTAGTACTTGTGTTATTGTGTTCTAGATCAAATATTGCTTTTATACTTCGAAGGGAAGTTGATGCAAAATTTTTTGTTTATATATAGTTTTCTAAGACTTAAAAGACACGTGATGTAAAAATATTTCATGTTATTTGTATTGTTATAAGCTTTCGGCCCTAGTGTCTAGCTATGTTTGTGTGCAGATTGTGAAGAATTTATGCTTGTAGTTGTTTTTATCTTTATGGGGATACTTGGTGTTGTAATAGAGTGAGAGAGCTTTGATTTTTTCGTGAGAAAGTAATACATCGAAACCCCAGAAGGCATAAAACGTGCCCCTAGAAACCCTAGTGCTCGCAATGTTGGCTAATGTTAAGCTAGACACGTATGTGGACTTGATCCGTTTCTTTGATCCACTAAAACTTTTGAAGGTTTTTCAAGGGAATAAATATATAAACCCACAAAAGTTTCTTCCTCTTACCAAACATGCATTTTCAAATAATTACACATAAAAAAATCAAGGTTTTAAATAACAACATAACAAACAAGAACAAGTAAACAACCTTTCACTACCTCTAAATCATCATCAATCTACTTTTTCTTTTACAACAACACACGCAAACTAAAATAAAAAGAAAAAAACAACTTATAGTTTTTTGACATTTTTCTCTTAAGTTTATTTTTCTTTTTATGAGCAACAGCTGTCCATAGTTGTTGTTTGATCTTCAGACTTGGGCTTTAGTAAATTTTTTGTCACTATTGTAGACCCTTCTTCAACAAGACTAGGAACTTCCATTATCTTGGATAACAAAACAAAATGGTCAAGAAAAGTCAACAATAAATATAAAACTGTTTTCGAAATTACGGATATTTTTTTTTATGTAACCCACTTTTACAATTTTATATACTAAATGGGTTTAACAGTTTATAAATGTTTACAATAATTTCCCTCCAACTGATTTTTGTACGTCATAATGGCTTAAGTGGGAAAAAAAAAAAATCAAATTACAAATGGTTTTCTCGCAAAAAAAAAAAAAAAGTATTAGGTTTTTCTAAAATTTGCTCTTTTGATCAGCATTTTTTATAAACAATATAAGTTAAAGAAATCTACAGAAAAGTCTCAAACTTTTGGGAAAAATTTCAATAAAATCCTAAAAGTCTTGTTATGAACAGAAAAGTGCCGATTATTTAACATTTTGCCCAAATTAACGATAAAATCATTTTTTATATTTGACCAGCTAACGAGAGATTATATGATTTTTTCAAAATAATGAAACTTTTTTGTAAAAAAAAAAACTTTGAAAGCTTTATTGAAACTTTTCTTAAAAGTTTGTGATTTTTCTATAGATTTCCCTATAAGTTATGTATATTATTTGTACAAAAAAAATATGAAAAATAACATATTTAGATTTTATATTACAAATATTAAAAATTAAAGGTTCAATTTTACCTTCAATGCAATCTCCTCAAAGCATTTGTGTACATTTTCTAGAGTTGTTGCACTACACTCATAAAATAAACATCCAAGTTCTTTCGCAAGAGCAACACCTTCTTCCTTGCTTACAAATCTTTCTGAATCCTAAAATCACATTTAAAACATGTGTAAGATCAAGATAAAGTATTTAAAACTTGTTTTTTGCACTTCATTTTTAATTTTCTTCAACTTACTTTATCAACTTTATTTCCAATGAGCATCTTGACACAATCTTGATTAGTGGAGTAACGCTCAACTTCTTTAGCCCAAATGTCTAACAAGCTTGTGAATGTATCTCTCCTTGTAACATCATATACTGTGAAAAACAAATCAATTTTTACTTTTATAATTAGGTAAATTCTTGAAAGTAAAAAAATAATTTAAAGTAAAATGCTATAATCAGGTAGATTTTTAGCCATGGTTACCAAGAATTATGCCTTGAGCACTTCTGTAGTAAGAGCTTGTTAATGTCCTAAACCTTTCTTGTCCAGCTGCAATAAACAACATCAAGTCAAATATGAACAACAATTATTCTGAAAGGATTTTATCTAATGTAACTATTGTATAAACAAATACTGTTTTTACATTAACTAAATTGTGTGAATGAGATTAATAAAATCACATTTGCGAGATCCTTACTTACCAGTGTCCCAAATTGTAAGCTTTAATCTCTTTCCACCAACTGTAAGCTGCTTGATTTTGAAGTCAACCCCTGGTCAATGATATGGTGGAAATTAAGTAGAAGCTAGAACAGGTTGTGAATATAGATAAACTTTTATTTACAAATTGCTACACTGTTTGATATGCGATAGTTGTAAATACGCATTTCAGAAGTTCGAATATGAAATATTATTAGTAGATATACAAAATATCTAGCATATAAACATATAAAATAGGAACAATACATAAATTTTGCATCAATTCTCGATTTACAAAATGCGTAGAAAATTGAATCGATCAATTTAGTAAAATTAAGGTGAAGTTAAGTTACCAATAGTAGGGGAAATATCCTCGAGAGAATTGGAAACGAAACTGAGGAGAAGACTACTTTTTCCGACACCAGAATCTCCGATCAACAAGATCTTAAATGATAGATCGTATTGAGCTGATGATGAACTCATTCTGATAAATTTCAATTGAATTTTCAACTAAACTTTATCTCTCTCTCTCTCTCTCTCTCTCTCTCTCTCTCTCTCTCTCTCTAGATTATTTGAGAAACAAGCAACACTAACAAAATTAAGCGCCACGAAGATGAGATTTGTTTCTCGAAATGTTGGATTAATATAAGAAACAAATTGAAAACTCATCGTTAATGGCATCCGATTCCTTTCACTATTGATGAAGAAATTGAAAGAAGCGAGTGTGAATTTGAGAGCGAATCTAGAGAGAGAAAGCCCCTGAGAAGAGCAAACGAAGGGATGTTTCATGGTGTGGAAGTTGATTAAACGAATTTCATTTTTGCGCGAGTTGCAAGGCTTCTTCTCTGTTGAAAATATTTCATATTTATAACTTTTAGATATTCCATATTTTTGTAATAATAATTAGAGTCTTACTTTATTTGATTTTTATCATTTTTTATGAAGAACTTTTTAGCATGGATGGACCTTTTGGTTTTGAAATTTTGCACCATATGTCCTTATGGCTAACTTCATTAAAATGATATGTTAAATGTTTGTAAAATATCAATATATCCTTTATTTTTTTTATTTTTGTCATTTTTCATTTTATTAAAGTTTTTGTTTATATTATATATTTAGGTGCGTTTGTTTTTTGGAAAAAACTCTTCAAACCTTTTATTGCTGCGCGGTGCAGTACACGCGCAATACTTTTCATCTTGTAGCTGTTTGTTTTTTAGAAGTCTTCGGAGTAAAAACCTCTGCGCGTGCCCTGTTTGGCGCAGCACTTGTACCTCTTCCAACATTTTTTTTCTTGTTGTAATTTTGATTATATGTTATTGAAATTTTATTTCACTTTTTTTTTTTCATTTTTTTTTTGTTTATTCTAGTTAATTTTTTTTTTCGTTTTTTATATTCAATAATGATAATTTCTTAACGAAATATCATTATTTCTTACTAAAATATCATTTTTTTGTTGAAATATCATTACTTTTATTGAAATATCATTAATTCTTGTTGAAATGTTATACATTGTTAAATTTTACATATTAAAATACTATTTTCGGTTTATAAATTAGTTTATTTTAATTTTTTAATATCTGCAACAGTATGCAGATGTTAAAAAAAACAAATACGCTTCTGATTACACTCTGCAGTCGTTTGGTCCATCTCTTCTACTACAGAGGGTTTCAGAGGTGGTCCGCAAACTTCATAAATTTTTGCTTCAGAAAATCAAACAACACCCTTAGAGTCTTACCCCACCCCAACCCTATCATTTTTCACCTTGTTTACTTTTCTTTCTTTTCTCGTGTCTCTTTTTCTCCTCCTTATTTTCATTCATCGACAATGAACTTTACATGTAACCCTAAACTATTGTTTCCCATATCCTACTGATAAAACTACATTGACCACCACGGTTATGAAGCACCATCATACTCATGTTCCCTTAATTACATTGATGCCGGTACCTACCATGACAACATCCATCGTAAACCCACTTGTCTACCTTATTTTATAGGAACCCTTATATAGGTCTATTTGTTGCATATTTTTGTTTTTTATATTTTATATTGTATCAAATAAGACACTTATTTTATTGTGTTTATAGATTAGTAAATAAAATGTGTTTTCTTTTAATTTCCTTACAAATATTATAGTTTTTGAAATATACATATATGCATTTGTAAAAATATACATAAATGTACCAAAAACGTTGATTTTTGGTTAAAAATTATAGTATTTTTTAAATATTTCAGTTTTTTTTTTATTTTATTGATTTTTAATTTTTTTTTTAAAAAGTGCAGTTTTTATTATTATTATTATTGATTCATATCCTTAATAAATTAGTTTTAATTTAGTTTTAATGTAACGCCTCCACTTATAATAGACATAAAAAAAAAACATTCAACAAATTTTTTGTATTAAATTGAAGCTAATTATTAAGTTGATCTCCTCGATCCGTTGAAGTTACAAGATCATCAAAAGCAAATCAACCAGTAAAACCACCGTCAACGGCCAGATCATGGCCAGTAATAAAACCAGACTCAGAAGCCAAGAACAACACCGCCTCTGCAACGTCCTCCGCCTTCAACACCACACCTTTCAAGCTAGTGAACGGTTCAACATACTTCTCCACTTCCGCCGCCTCCTTCTCAAGCATGTTGCACATCAACGGAGTCGCCACCACAGACGGCGACACTGAATTCACTCGGATCCCATGCTCCCCCAGCTGTTTGCTCGCCGATTTCATCAATGCAACCACCGCATGCTTCGACACACAATAATCAGTATGTTGCGCCACCGCTAGCCTTCCCAGAACACTACCGGAGCAAATAATGACTCCTTTCACCTTCTTCTCCACCATTGAACGTCCGGCATGCTTCAGGCAAACCGCCATCCCACGGACATTAACTGAAAACAGGTCCTCAAATTGATCCATGTCGAGGTCGACGATGGTCTGGTTTGATTTACTTATGATTCCGGCGTTGCTAAACATGACATCAAGCTGACCATAGATCGCCACCGTGGAGTCCACCAGTGACTTCACTTGGGCTTCATCGGAAACGTCACAGTGGATGTAGGTGCAGCGGTGTAAGCCGATGGTAGAAGATAGATTTTTTCCAAGTTCGTCTTGGATGTCAGCTATCACCACCGCACGTGCACCGTGTTTGGCGAACAGATGGGCGGTGGCTTCTCCGATACCACTTGCTCCGCCAGTGATTATTGCCACCTTCCCTTCTAGTTTGTTCATGAATGTATTGTTTTTCATGGAGATTTTCAGGAATTTGGTTATGGAAGATATAAAGGGTGCATGGGTATATATACTATGGATATTATATGTTTGTAAATTATTTTATTGAAAAAATAGTTTAGAGCCATTTAAACTAAATAATATTATATATATCAATGTAAAATAAAATATTGTAATAAATGATAAACCCTAATAAAATATTTAAAATCAAAACATGTAAGTCAACTCGTTTTTGTCAGTAAGGTCGCGATTAGTCTAACATCGATGGACCGTTGTTTTTCTCTTAAACGGCTGCAGGCCTTCATGAAAAAAGAGCAGACACTTTCAATGCTGTAGGAGTCGACTTGTATATTTTTTTTTTATTATTAATAACAATTTTATTTTTGTTTTTATCATAAAACCAAAGAATATATTTTGCTACAATAAATATATTTTGATGCTGTATTTTTGTAAAAGTTGTTTATATTAATAATAACTAGGTGCAGTGAAATCCCGCTCCGTGGGGTTCGGTTAAAACCAGAGTTTTACTTTTTTGTTTATCGGTTATGTATGTGGTATAGTGATATGTAGTGTGTGGTTGATCATTGTGTTTGTGAGTATGTAGTAGCAAATAATATTGGTGTTTTAAGGAAACACGCAACAATACATTTAACTACTAAAAATATAATAATATTAAAGGAAAACAAACAATTTTTTTTTTCATTCCAATAGAATGAATCATTCTATTCCTTCCTCATTCTATCATGCACCAAACACTACCCAAGTAATTGCAACATAAGATGTCATTTAACCAGAAATGACAACCTCCCGTGTTGGCATTTGGCAATGAAACTCGCCAGGGTGTTATTTGATGTTAAACTATACTTCATTTTCTCCCTCTTCTTGCACTCTTGCATTTGCTTCATCTATAGCTATAGATTTTGTATGAGGATCATGGTAATCGGAATTGGAATCGGAATCTCATTCCAAATCTGAACCTGATCCCTTAAACAAACAAAACCAACCGAAAAAAACTAAGAACAATGGGATCGATATATAACAATATGATTTCAACAATGTAACATAACATATTAAAGTGGAGTGGAAGATTGTTTTTTTAGAAAATTAAAGAGGTTCCATAATGTTCATATTATCAGGAACATTGATTGATAATGATACCTTCTTGAAAACAATACCTGTCTCAGGTCCTTCCAACTCAAAAAGAATAAGCTTCATCACCTAGATGCCCATCCCATCCAACATCCTTATTTTTTACGTTTATAGACCGAAAATTTCGGTTCCATACGGTTTCAACCCAAACTTCAATTACTTTTACGTTTATTTTTTTATTTTATTTATTTATTTATTTTTAAGAATTTAAGCCCATTGTTTAATTAAGTTAATAGGAGAAAGCCTAGGCTTCGTCCCAAGTAAAAACCAAAAGACATTAAAAGATTACTATTGTTATGATGCTTATATATATATATATATATATATATATATATATATATATATATATATATATATATATATATATATATATATATATATATATAGTAGACGTTTACCCGCATCAAGCGATAGATACATATAGTTTTTTTTTCAACAATTAGTTTCTTCAGACGATTAGTTTTCTTTGTGCAAATAGTTTACTACATCTAAATAATTGTCAATAAGAGTTATACTATAGCAAATACAAAATCGGTAACAATAAAAAATAAAGAGTTTTGATTGTATACAAATATGTACGAACACATAATTGATTATACATTATTAATCGTGCAACACTTTTTATATACCATATTTAATGTATACATTTCACCCTCGTTGATTTTTCATCAATTTCACTAATATTTTTGTATTGACATATGATATCCCTCTAAATAATACCATATAAAGTTAGTCATACAAATAGTTAGTTTCGAAATTATTTCTATTCGGAAACATATTATATTTCCAGGAACACAAATTATTTTCTGAAGAATCATTTCCTTTCAGTGCTTATTTGTCATTATGAAATGTCCATTTTTATTTGTTGTTAGAAGTATGTTAATATGTTTTTGTTTTAAAAAAAGAATATTGTTACGGATTAAAAATAAATGTACATTGCTCTTTTTTATATAAATGTGCATTATTGATTACAACCCGATTAAATTTTCGTTTTTTCAGTATAATTATGATTTATTTATTTATTTACTTGTTTGTTACAACAGATGGGTAACGGATAAATCGACGCCTAGGAGGAGACCGTTAATTAGTCAAGGCGGTGGACCGTGAGAAAACAACTAATCAATGCCTAGACTGGTCCTTAAGTGTATTTATCAAAAAAAATTATTATAATATTTACATATTTTAAGAAAATAAATATATTATATTTTTTATTTTTTAAATTTCAAAAAGCATAAATTTAGATCATGAAAGCAGGAGTTGATGATTACTCTTTGGGTTAAAAAAAGTTTGTTATTTTTGGGTTAAAAATTAAGAATAAGTTACACTTTAGGTTAAAATAAAATTTTGTTATTGCTTAATTTGAACTAAAAAAAAATACGTTGGAGTTTTAAGCTTAGAATAAAAGTATGTCGCTGTTTTGTATTAAAATGTAAGTACATTGTTGTTTTGGGTTAACGATAAAAATATGTTAGTGTGCTGCAAATAGTGTGTTTCGACATATAGTTTTAACGTAGCAATTAGTTTCCTTTAGGCGCGAGGTAGTTCCTTGCGGCCTTTCCACAGTTAATCTTTACATAAACATACCGATATATTAATTTTGACTGTTTAAAAATGAATTTTCAAAGTATCAATTTTCCATTTTAATGTTTTATGTTATGTTTAAAACCAATATACACTTTTTTTTAATTGTTCAAAGAACAAATCTTCTTGGATACCTGATTTTTAAAAGGTGAAAATATAAAAAAGAACAAACAAATTATTTCAAAAAATGAACTTTCATATTTCATCAAAGTCAAATGAATTATAGCATAAGTCTTTCATTCCACTTTAATTGGTTCATAGTATTACCAACAAATATATCCACCACCAAATGCTTGCCATGTACTTGACCGCTCTCTAAATGGTTCAAAACTAACCCAAATTATTGCCATGTGTGTTAGAGGGATTTTAACAACTACACATCATACATATATTACTTTTGTTTAGTTAATAACTTTGTGGAACCACCATTTAGTAGCGAGTGTCCTACTTTTTATGACATTGACACATTACCTTCTTTCCATTTTAGGTTTCAAACTTGGGCTTGATGAATATAAATTGAAAAACTGACTTTGGAAATCTAATGTGTCTGCACATCAATGAGAGTTAACACTTTTCATTAGTAATTCTACAACATACACACAAGTTGAAGATAATAATCTCCTAAGTACAAAGTTATAATAAAAATAATCAATATATTATGAACCTAAAAATTATCCAAGAAAATATTACTTCCAAGTATTTATTATTGATTCTATATCTGTTTGTATATATCATTTTTGACCAAAATGTCATTTTCAGCAAAAAAGTTCCTAACCAACATCAAAGCATTACCCTTTTAACTTCGAACCAGATTCTCATATCCTTTAAATCTTTAAAATCAATTTTCTATTTTTTGATATCATATTATTCAAATAAATCAAAAGACTATGTAATCTCATAAATAATTGGAATTCGTTTCACCTACATTTTTATTTGATGATCAGCATACTCTTGGTCTTCAAAAACCTCAAGAGCCATCCCACATAGCCATCACATGTACCCAGAATGATGCATGATCTAAAAAGTAAAATAATGAGTAAGCTTAGGGTTAGCTTTAACTCATTAAAAAAAACTTTAAAATGAACAAAAAATGTGAAGTTTTGTCTGTTTAAAAGTACAATGATATAATATTACCATCATAAACTGTCTAATAGTAGAGTACAAGGTCAGAAATATATATTTTTCCATGATTTTGTTAGTAGAAATGGTTAATTATGGATGGTAGGAGGCCAAGATATTGTAGGAGGTGATATCAATTAGCAACAAATAATGTTATATTAGCAAGTTCCATTTTCAGTTTCCGTTTATATGAAAATACATACAATTATAGCCACAAGTGGAAGGTTTAAAAAAATAACAACCAAAGAAATCAACACTAAATTAACAACAATTAAACACCAATGTCAAGTATGAAATTAGGGGAATAAGGAATTGGGAATCCTCTCACTATCAGTCCCTTCAAGTTGTCAATGAGTAATTTTGAGAAGTCGATTCTTCCATAGAATATCCTTCAACTGTATTCCTGAATCAATTAAACACGAACTCTTGAATGATTGTTGCAGAAGTAGTTATATTTGAAAATTGATAATATATCCATTAAGCGGCAGTTGATTTTATCATAAATTCAGGGTAAGATACCCAAAATGGTTGGAACTATAACCTGAAAATCAATAAACATTGTAACATAATCCCACAAATCAATTTACAGAAATAATAAAAAAAAAACATATATACTCAAACCTCGTCCCCTAGGGAACAAACAACAAGAATTGCTTGTAGTGTACTATGTTTTTTTCCCAATTACTAACCACACTTTCATCAGGTGTGTAAGAAATATCACTCTCCTCTACAATAAGACACAAAAGAAGTTATAATTTATATCTTAAAAGGATTGATTTTACCCTTCAATTTCTTGCATATCACTATTTGTAGTTCTAAGGTACCTTCAATGAAAAAATATATATATAAAGGTTTTAACAACTATAGCAAAGAAAAGAGTGGATTGATTTGAAGAAATAATTGGCAGATATATATATCATGAAATCAACAGCTACCTTAGCTATAACAGACAGGATGTCAAAATCATATTATCTGGTAGCTAAGCGAATGACAAGGTAGGATGAAATTGATACAACCATTTTCAACATATACAAATAATTAATAAACGAAAACAATTACAAATATACTTAGAAGAACATAAAAATATAAATCTAGATCTCAAAAGAATCTTTAAACCTCTTCAAGGAATCGTAAATAAGTCTCAAGAAACT